CTCTCTCACTGTTCTGTCCATGCCTCGTGACTTTCATCTCTCTCACTGTTCTGTCCATGCCATGTGACTTTTATCTCTCTCACTGTTCTGTCTGTCCATGCACTGTTCTCATGCCTGACTTTCATCTCTCTCACTGTTCTGTCCATGCCTTATGACTTTCATCTCTCTCACTGTTCTGTCCATGCTTATGACTTTCATCTCTCTCACTGTTCTGTCCATGCCTTGTGACTTTCATCTCTCTCACTGTTCTGTCCATGCCTTGTGACTTTCATCTCTCTCACTGTTCTGTCCATGCCTTATGACTTTCATCTCTCTCACTGTTCTGTAAATACCTTATGACTTTCATCTCTCTCACTGTTCTGTCCATGCCTTGTGACTTTCATCTCTCTCACTGTTCTGTCCATGCCTTGTGACTTTCATCTCTCTCACTGTTTTGTCCATGCCTTCCAACTTTCATCTCTCTCACTGTTCTGTCCATGCCTTCCGACTTTTATCTCTCTCACTGTTCTGTCCATGCTTTTGACTTTCATCTCTCTCACTGTTCTGTCCATGCCTTGTGACTTTCATCTCTCTCACTGTTCTGTCCATGACTCGTGACTTTCATCTCTCTCACTGTTTTTTCCATGCTTTCCAACTTTCATCTCTCTCACTGTTCTGTCCATGCCTTCCGACTTTTATCTCTCTCACTGTTCTGTCCATGCCTTATGACTTTCATCTCTCTCACTGTTCTGTCCATGCCTTGTGACTTTCATCTCTCTCACTGTTCTGTCCATGTCTCGTGACTTTCATCTCTCTCACTGTTCTGTCCATGCCTTGTGACTTTCATCTCTCTCACTGTTCTGTCCATGCCTCGTGACTTTCATCTCTCTCACTGTTCTGTCCATGCCTTGTGACTTTCATCTCTCTCACTGTTCTGTCCATGCCATGTGACTTTTATCTCTCTTACTGTTCTGGCCATGCCTTCCAACTTTCATCTCTCTCACTGTTCTGTCCATGCCTTATGACTTTCATCTCTCTCACTGTTCTGTCCATGCCTTTTAACTTTCATCTCTCTCACTGTTCTGTCCATGCCATGTGACTTTCAACTCTTTAACTGTTCTGTCCATGCTTTATGACTTTCATCTCTCTAACTGTTCTGTCCATGCCTTATGACTTTCATCTCTCTAACTGTTCTGTCCATGCTTATGACTTTCATCTCTCTCACTGTTCTGTCCATGCCTTCCCACTTTCATCTCTCTCACTGTTCTGTCCATGCCTTCCAACTTTCATCTCTCTAACTGTTCTGTCCATGCCTTATGACTTTCATCTCTCTAACTGTTCTGTCCATGCTTATGACTTTCATCTCTCTAACTGTTCTGTCCATGCTTATGACTTTCATCTCTCTAACTGTTCTGTCCATGCTTATGACTTTCATCTCTCTCACTGTTCTGTCCATGCCTTCCCACTTTCATCTCTCTCACTGTTCTGTCCATGCTTTCCAACTTTTATCTCTCTCACTGTTCTGTCCATGCCTTCCGACTTTCATCTCTCTTACTGTTCTGTTCATGCCTTATGACTTTCATCTCTCTCACTGTTCTGTCCATGCCTTCTGACTTTCATCTCTCTCACTGTTCTGTCCATGCCTTGTGACTTTCATCTCTCTCACTGTTCTCTGTCCATGCCTTGTGACTTTCATCTCTCTCACTGTTCATGACTTTCATCTCTCTCACTGTTCTGTCCATGCCTTATGACTTTCATCTCTCTCACTGTTCTGTCCATGCCTTGTGACTTTCATCTCTCTCACTGTTCTGTCCATGCCTTATGACTTTCATCTCTCTCACTGTTCTGTCCATGCCTTATGACTTTCATCTCTCTCACTGTTCTGTCCATGCCTTGTGACTTTCATCTCTCTCACTGTTCTGTCCATCTTCCATCTCTCTCACTGTTCTGTCCATGCCTTGTGACTTTTATCTCTCTCACTGTTCTGTCCATGCCTTATGACTTTCATCTCTCTCACTGTTCTGTCCATGCCTTATGACTTTCATCTCTCTCACTGTTCTGTCCATGCCTTCCAACTTTCATCTCTCTCACTGTTCTGTCCATGCCTTCCATGACTTTCATCTCTCTCACTGTTCTGTCCATGCCTTGTGACTTTCATCTCTCTCACTGTTCTGTCCATGCCTTCCGACTTTCATCTCTCTCACTGTTCTGTCCATGCCTTATGACTTTCATCTCTCTCACTGTTCTGTCCATGCCTTTGACTTTCATCTCTCTCACTGTTCTGTCCATGCCTCGTGACTTTCATCTCTCTCACTGTTCTGTCCATGCCTCGTGACTTTCATCTCTCTCACTGTTCTGTCCATGCCTGTGACTTTCATCTCTCTCACTGTTCTGTCCATGCCTTATGACTTTCATCTCTCTCACTGTTCTGTCCATGCCTTCCCACTTTCATCTCTCTCACTGTTCTGTCCATGCCATGTGACTTTCATCTCTCTCACTGTTCTGTCCATGCCTTCCGACTTTCATCTCTCTCACTGTTCTGTCCATGCCTTCCGACTTTCATCTCTCTCACTGTTCTGTCCATGCCTTGTGACTTTCATCTCTCTCACTGTTCTGTCCATGCCTTGTGACTTTCATCTCTCTCACTGTTCTGTCCATGCCTTATGACTTTCATCTCTCTCACTGTTCTGTCCATGCCTTTGACTTTTTTATCTCTCTCACTGTTCATGTCCACTTTGCTCTTCCTGTTCCATGCTTTCACTTTCATCTCTCACTGTTCTGTCCATGCCTTATGACTTTCATCTCTCTCACTGTTCTGTCCATGCCTTATGACTTTCATCTCTCTCACTGTTCTGTCCATGCCTTGTGACTTTCATCTCTCTCACTGTTCTGTCCATGCCTTGTGACTTTCATCTCTCTCACTGTTCTGTCCATGCCTTGCTGACTTTCATCATCTCTCTCACTGTTCTGTCCATGCCTTGTGACTTTCATCTCTCTCACTGTTCTGTCCATGCCTCTTGACTTTCATCTCTCTCACTGTTCTGTCCATGCCTCGTGACTTTCATCATCTCTCTCACTGTTCTGTCTGTCTTTCATCTCTCTCACTTCTGTCCATGCCTTGCGACTTTCATCTCTCTCACTGTTCTGTTCATGCCTTGTGACTTTCATCTCTCTCACTGTTCTGTCCATGCCTTTGACTTTCATCTCTCTCACTGTTCTGTCCATGCCTTATGACTTTCATCTCTCTCACTGTTCTGTCCATGCCTTGTGACTTTCATCTCTCTCACTGTTCTGTCCATCTCCTGTTTCTGACTTTCATCTCTCTCACTGTTCTGTCCATGCCTTATGACTTTCATCTCTCTCACTGTTCTGTCCATGCCTTGTGACTTTCATCTCTCTCACTGTTCTGTCCATGCCTTATGACTTTCATCTCTCTCACTGTTCTGTCCATGCCTGTCTATGCCTGACTCAACTTCATCTCTGTCCATGCCTGACTTTCATCTCTCTCACTGTTCTGTCCATGCCTCTCACTGTTCTTCATCTTCCAACTTTCACTCTTCTGTCCATGCCATGTGACTTTCATCTCTCTCACTGTTCTGTCCATGCCTTGTGACTTTCATCTCTCTCACTGTTCTGTCCATGCCATGTGACTTTCATCTCTCTCACTGTTCTGTCCATGCCTTCCCACTTTCATCTCTCTCACTGTTCTGTCCATGCCTTATGACTTTCATCTCTCTCACTGTTCTGTCCATGCCTTCCAACTTTTATCTCTCTCACTGTTCTGTCCATGCCTTCCAACTTTCATCTCTCTCACTGTTCTGTCCATGCCTTCCGACTTTCATCTCTCTCACTGTTCTGTCCATGCCTTATGACTTTCATCTCTCTCACTGTTCTGTCCATGCCGCCCAACTTTCATCTCTCTCACTGTTCTGTCCATGCCTTCCAACTTTTCCATGCCTTGTGACTTTCATCTCTCTCACTGTCCTATTCATGCCTCATGAACCATTCTTTCTGTGTTCCCCTGAAGATAAAAATTTAGATGTTCCCCTGGTAATACACATATACCTGTACCACCAGTGATACACATATAGGTGTTCCCATGATGATACTTATATAATTGTTGCCCTGATGAAAACTTATAGGTGTTTCCCTGTTGATGCACATGTAGGTGTTCCTCTAATTATATACATATAGATATTCTGACAGTGATACACATTAGTGTTCCAGTGATAAACGAAGGAACAAACTTTATTTTCAAATGGCCACAGATTGGGCACGTAGGCCCGTCTTACATTCGGCCCTTCCAGTCAACAAATCTTTCGCACAGCAGTTGTATTTTTCTAATAAAGGATGTTATAATCATATGATAAAATGCATATTATGAATATCATAAAAGAACACAAAAGCATGAACCTCTTACCTTAAAGGTGTTCCTCTAACAATACACATATACGTGTTCCCCTGATGATACACATACAGTGGTTTCCCAGTGGTGCACATATAGGTGTTCCTTTAGTTATGTGCATATAGATGTTTTTCTAATGATACATATTTAGCTGTTTCACTGGTTATACACATATATGTGTTCCTTTGATGATACACATATAGATGTACATGTGTAGCATAGGTGTTTGCATGCAGCAGTCTGGCTGGGTACAACATTGCTGCAGCTGATGTCAGTGCATACCCTTGGCTTTACATATCATAACAATGGCATTAACCAATGTTGTCTCGGCGTATCACCTCGGCAGATTATGTCAGTGCATACCCTTGGCTTTACACATCATAACAATGGCATTAACCAATGTTGTCTCGGCGTATCACCTCGGCAGATGATGTCAATGCATACCCTTGGCTTTACACATCATAACAATGGCATTAACCAATGTAGTCTCGGCGTATCACCTCGGCAGATGATGTCAATGCATACCCTTGGCTTTACACATCATAACAATGGCATTAACCAGCGTATCACCTCGGCAGATGATGTAGTTACAATGTTTGAACCTCTGACCTTTCAGGCTGGCAGTGGGATCCCAAAGATAGACCCACTTTTAAAGAGATTCACTTTCTTCTGGAAAACATGTTTGACAAGTCCAGTGTTAGTGAAGGTAAGGTATCTGCTGCTGTGTGGCTTGTCTGTTGCTGGTCTCACAGTGAAGGTAAGGTATCTGCTGCTGTGTGGCTTGTCTGTTGCTGGTCTCACAGTGAAGGTAAGAGATCTGCTGCTGTGTGGCTTGTCTGTTGCTGGTGTCACAGTGAAGGTAAGGTATCTGCTGCTGTGTGGCTTGTCTGTTGCTGGTCTCACAGTGAAGGTAAGGTATCTGCTGCTGTGTGGCTTGTCTGTTGCTGGTCTCACAGTGAAGGTAAGGTATCTGCTGCTGTGTGGCTTGTCTGTTGCTGGTCTCACAGTGAAGGTAAGGTATCTGCTGCTGTGTGGCTTGTCTGTTGCTGGTCTCACAGTGAAGGTAAGAGATCTGCTGCTGTGTGGCTTGTCTGTTGCTGGTGTCACAGTGAAGGTAAGGTATCTGCTGCTGTGTGGCTTGTCTGTTGCTGGTCTCACAGTGAAGGTAAGGTATCTGCTGCTGTGTGGCTTGTCTGTTGCTGGTCTCACAGTGAAGGTAAGGTATCTGCTGCTGTGTGGCTTGTCTGTTGCTGGTCTCACAGTGAAGGTAAGGTATCTGCTGCTGTGTGGCTTGTCTGTTGCTGGTCTCACAGTGAAGGTAAGGTATCTGCTGCTGTGTGGCTTGTCTGTTGCTGGTCTCACAGTGAAGGTAAGGTATCTGCTACTGTGTGACTTGTCTGTTGCTGGTCTCACAGTGAAGGTAAGATGTCTGCTGCTGTGTGGCTTGTCTGTTGCTGGTCTCACAGTGAAGGTAAGGTATCTGCTGCTGTGTGACTTGTCTGTTGCTGGTCTCACAGTGAAGGTAAGGGTGTCTGCTGCTGTGTGACGTGTCTGTTGCTGGTCTCACAGTGAAGGTAAGGTGTCTGCTGCTGTGTGGCTTGTCTGTTGCTGGTCTCACAGTGAAGGTAAGGTATCTGCTGCTGTGTGGCTTGTCTGTTGCTGGTCTCACAGTGAAGGTAAGGTATCTGCTGCTGTGTAGCTTGTCTGTTGCTGGTCTCACAGTGAAGGTAAGGTATCTGCTGCTGTGTGGCTTGTCTGTTGCTGGTTTCACAGTGACTGCCACATGCCAAGGCATGTCAGATTGTAGTGACTCTCTGAGATTTGCTCGGGTTTTGGAAGTAATTAGTCAGTCAGCTTGTAGTGACTGTCAGATTTTAGTGAGTCAGATTGAAGTAACTGTCAGATTGTTGTGAGTCAGATTGTAGTGAGTCAGGCTGTAGTGAGTCAGGTTATAGTGAGTCAGGCTGTAGTGAGTCAGGTTGTAGTGAGTCAGGTTGTAGTGAGTCAGGCTGTAGTGAGTCAGGCTGTAGTGACGCAGGTTGTGGTGAGTCAGGCTGTAGTGAGCCAGATTTTAGTGAGTCAGGTTGTACTGAGTCAGGCTGTAGTGAATCAGGTTGTAGTGAATCAGGCTGTAGTGAGTCAGGCTGTAGTGAGCCAGATTTTAGTGAGTCAGGTTGTACTGAGTCAGGCTGTAGTGAATCAGGTTGTAGTGAATCAGGCTGTAGTGAGTCAGGCTGTAGTGAGCCAGATTTTAGTGAGTCAGGCTGTAGTGAGTCAGGCTGTAGTGAGTCAGGTTGTAGTGAATCAGGCTGTAGGGAGTCAGGTTGTAGTGAGTCAGGTTGTAGTGAATCAGGCTGTAGTGAGGCAGGTTATTGTGAGTCAGGTTGTAGTGAATCAGGCTGTAGTGAGTCAGGTTGTAGTGAGTCAGGTTGTATTGAATCAGGCTGTAGTGAGTCAGGCTGTAGTGAGTCAGGTTGTAGTGAATCAGGCTGTAGGGAGTCAGGCTGTAGTGAGTCAGGTTGTAGTGAGTCAGGTTGTAGTGAGTCAGGTTATTGTGAGTCAGGTTGTAGTGAATCAGGCTGTAGTGAGTCAGGTTGTATTGAATCAGGTTGTATTGAATCAGGCTGTAGTGAGTCAGGCTGTAGTGAGTCAGGTTGTAGTGAATCAGGCTGTAGGGAGTCAGGCTGTAGTGAGTCAGGTTGTAGTGAGTCAGGTTGTTGTGAGTCAGGTTGTTGTGAGGCAGGTTATTGTGAGTCAGGCTGTAGTGAGTCAGGTTGTAGTGAATCAGGCTGTAGTGAGTCAGGCTGTAGTGAGTCAGGTTGTAGTGAGTCAGGTTGTAGTGAGTCAGGCTGTAGTGAGGCAGGTTATTGTGAGTCAGATTGTACCAAGTCAGTCTGTAGGGACTCAGGCTGTGGTGAGTCAGGCTGTAGTGAGTCAGGCTGTAGTGAGTCAGGTTGTAGTGAATCAGGCTGTAGGGAGTCAGGTTGTAGTGAGTCAGGCTATAGTGAATCATTTTGTAGTGAATCAGGCTGTAGTGAGTCAGGTTGTAGTGAATCAGTCTGTAGTGAGGCAGGTTATTGTGAGTCAGATTGTACCAAGTCAGTCTGTAGGGACTCAGGCTGTGGTGAGTCAGGCTGTAGTGAGGCAGATTGTAGTGAGTCAGTCATAATTTAATGTTTTATAATTTAATATTGTAGTGAATCAGGCTGAAGTGAGTCACGCAGATTGTAGTGAGTCAGGTTGAAGTTTTGCTGTAGTGAGTCTGGTTGTATTGAGTCAGATTGTAGTGAGTCAGGCTGTAGTGAGTCTGATTGTATTGAGTTAGATTGTAGTGAGTCAGGCTGTGGTGAGGCAGGTTGTAGTGGATTAGATTATAGTGCCTCAAGCACATTATAGTGAGTCAGGCTGTAGTGAGGCAGATTTCAGTAAGTCAGGTTTCAGTGAGACAAGTCATAGTGAACAGCTAGCAGTAAGTCAGGTTCTAGTGATTGTCAGATGTCTAGGTGTTAATGACGTGACCTGGTGTCCACTGATATTGTCCCTGTCTGTTTTTCAGAAGTAGAGAAAGAACTAGAGAAGACAGAGAGGAAACCGCCTGCGCTTCCTTCCAAGAAAACCCGTGGCCAGGAGACATCTGAATTTGTCAATGATGGTTGCAGCAGTGCGGGTAATTCTTGCTTGTGTTTATTCCAGGGTCAGGGTGGTAGAGTTCACACACACACTGTCATTGACAAAATTCAAGCACGCACACACAACAACATACTTACTGTCAGTCTAAGAGGTCACACACACTGTAAAGGATATAATTCACACATTGACAGAATTCATGCATACATTTGCTTACAGTCAAGGACAGTGAGAGAATTAATACACAGATTCACTTACTGTCGAGGATAGAATTCATACACAGTGACGTAATTCATACACACATTTACTCTTAAGGATAGAATTCACCCACGCACACAGGTGACGGAATTCACACACACACACACTTGCCGTCTGGTAAAAATTCACAAACACTAAGCATCTGTGATAGAATTCAGATACCTTTGTATCATTGACAGAATTTATGCTTATGTTTTATCAGCTGCAGAATTCACAAAAGTACTATCAGTGACAGTTTATAGATACTATATGTTATAGAATTCACACACTTGCTGTTGGTTACAGAATTCACAAACTGCATGTTAACTGACAGAATTCAAGCAGATGACCAGTCAGTGAAGAATTGACACGTGTACTGTCAGTGACAGAATACATGATCATTTACTCAGTGACGGAGTTTATGCACACTTACAATCAGTTCCACATGTGGGTGTTCCACGGCCCTGTTGTAGGGAAAACAAGAATAGACCCACTGCCTACCCAAAAGCATGTCGTAAGAGTCGACTAATTGGGAGCTTCCTTTGAAGTCGGAGTGCATCTGCCTGGAGAGGCAAGGAACCAGCAGTCAGCATACAAGTGAGTCAGATTTGTAAAACGGATGCACACACAACACTCAGGTTCTGGAACAGGACTGCAGCCTGAAAGTGGATGAACAACCAGAACTTTCCGCCATAGTTTACAGCTGGTGAACACACACAACTTACAATCAGCAACATAATTTACACATATATACTGTCGGTGAGAGGATTTACACTAACATACTGTCAGTGACAGACTTAGTACACAGTCAGAGGTGACAGAATTTACACACACTTACTGTCAGTGACAGAAATAACACACTCACTGTCAGTAATGGAATTCACACATACATCTTGTCAGGGACAGAACTCACTCATTGTACAGCCAGTGACAAAATTCACACACCACTGTCTTTGACAAGAATTTACACACATATACTGTCACTGAGAGATGTGTATACATAATGTCAGTGTGACATAATTCACTCAAACTTACCATCAGTGATATAATTCATGCAGACTTACTGTCAGTGACAGAATTCACACACTCACTGTCAGTGACAGAATTAACACACATATACTGTCACTGAGAGAATTAATGTATAAATATTGTCAGTGGGACATAATTCATTCAAATTAATCATCATTTATATAATTCATGCGGACTCACTGTCTGTGACAGAGATCACATACACACTGTTATTGACAGGATTCACACACATTTACAGCAGGAGACAGATTTAATACACACACCTTTACTGTCAGTGACAGAATTATCTCACACACACACGCACGCACACACACACACACACACAGTATATATATATATATATATATATATACTTACTGGCAGGGACATAATTCACACACATTTACTGTCAGCAATAGAATTAATATGCATGTACTGTCCATGACAAAATTCTCACACATAGGTACTCTCAGTGACAGAATTCTCGCATGTGTGTACTGTCAGTGACAGAGCAAACAAAAACACATGTACTATCAGTGACAGAATTCTCACATGTGTGTACTGTCAGTGACAGAGCAAACAAAAACACATGTACTATCAGTGACAAAGCAAACAAAAACACATGTACTATCAGTGACAGAATTCTCACATGTGTGTACTGTCAGTGACAGAGCAAACAAAAACACATGTACTATCAGTGACAGAGCAAACAAAAACACATGTGCTATCAGTGACAGAGCAAACAAAAACACATGTACTATCAGTGACAGGGCAAACAAAAACACGTGTACTATCAGTGACAGAATTCTCACATGTGTGTACTGTCAGTGACAGAAAACAAAAAACACATGTACTATCAGTGACAGAGCACAAACACACATGTACTATCAGTGACAGAGCAAACAAAAACACATGTACTATCAGTGACAGAGCAAACAAAAACACATGTACTATCAGTGACAGAATTCTCACATGTGTGTACTGTCAGTGACAGAGCAAACAAACACACATGTACTATCAGTGACAGAATTCTCACATGTGTGTACTGTCAGTGACAGAGCAAACAAAAACACATGTACTATCAGTGACAGAGCAAACAAAAACACATGTACTATCAGTGACAGAATTCTCACATGTGTGTACTATCAGTGACAGAGCAAACAAAAACACATGTACTATCAGTGACAGAGCAAACAAAAACGCATGTACTATCAGTGACAGAATTCTCACATGTGTGTACTATCAGTGACAGAGCAAACAAAAACACATGTACTATCAGTGACAGAGCAAACAAAAACACATGTACTATCAGTGACAGAACTCACACAAACCTATGTAATGTGAGTGATGTGGAGCTGTTCTTCAGAGTGGTTCCTTTGGTTATATGTTGGTTCCTGTGTGGTGTCTGACACATGTGTTTGTTCACTTGTCTGTGTTGTTTGTTCACTAGTCTATTTAGTGTGATGTTTGTTCACTAGTCTATTTAGTGTGTTGTTTGTTCACTTGTCTGTTTTTTGTTCACTTGGCTGTGTTGTTTGTTCACTTGGCTGTGTTGTTTGTTCACTTGGCTGTGTTGTTTGTTCACTTGTCTGTTTTGTTTGTTCACTTGTCTGTGTTGTTTGTTCACTTGTCTGTGTTGTTTGTTCACTTTGTGTTTTGTGTTGTCTGTTCTCTTGTCTTTGTTGTTTGTTCACTTGTCTGTGTTGTTTGTTCACTTGTCTCTATTGACTGTTCACTTGTCTGTGTTGTTTGTTCACTTGGCTGTTTTCTTTGTTTGATTGTTTGTTCATTTGTCTGTTTTGTTTGTTCACTCGTCTGTTTTCTGTGTTGTTTGTTCACTTGTCTGTGTTGTCTGTTCACTTGTCTGTGTTGTCTGTACACTTGTCTGTTCACTTGACGGTTGTATGTGATGTCTGTTGCCTTTATCTGAGTCACACTTATATTGTCAGTCCACTTAGCGGTTGTATGTGATGTCTGTTGCCTTTATCTGAGTCACACTTGTATTATCAGTCCACTTGGCAGTTTTATGTAATGTCTGTTGCCTTTATCTGAGTCACACTTGTATTTTCAGTCCACTTGGCGGTTGTATGTGATGTCTGTTGCCTTTATCTGAGTCACACTTGTATTATCAGTCCACTTGGCAGTTTTATGTAATGTCTGTTGCCTTTATCTGAGTCACACTTGTATTTTCAGTCCACTTAGCGGTTGTATGTGATGTCTGTTGCCTTTATCTGAGTCACACTTGTATTATCAGTCCACTTGGCGGTTGTATGTGATGTCTGTTGCCTTTATCTGAGTCACACTTATATTGTCAGTCCACTTGGCGGTTGTATGTGATGTCTGTTGCCTTTATCTGAGTCACACTTGTATTATCAGTCCACTCGGCAGTTTTATGTAATGTCTGTTGCCTTTATCTGAGTCACACTTGTATTTTCAGTCCACTTGGCGGTTGTATATGATGTCTGTTGCCTTTATCTGAGTCACACTTGTATTATCAGTTCACTTGGCAGTTTTATGTAATGTCTGTTGCCTTTATCTGAGTCACACTTGTATTATCAGTCCACTTGGCGGTTGTATGTGATGTCTGTTGCCTTTATCTGAGTCACACTTGTATTTTCAGTTCACTTGGTGGTTGTAAGTGATGTCTGTTGCCTTTATCTGAGTCACACTTGTATTGACTTGTGTAGTAAATTGTGGCTCAAACTGATAGTATATACATATTTTGAATTGTAGCACATGTTTGTGTTGTCTGTCACCTGTGACCCGAAAATACCTGTATTGAGTAGCTGTGTCATTGTTTGACATATCACCAAACTTCAATGGATGTTTACAGAACATTCAGTATTCTGTTGTTGCTTGTATGCCTTTCATACAGGTCCAACTCCTCCCACTGGACGACGGGGCCTTTCCACGCTGGAGGAAACTGAAGTTTCTCTGATGAAGGTGAATGAATCATTAACTAGAAAGTCTCTTCGAGGCAAGCCAGGCAAACCGGCACCTCTGCCACCCCGTAGAACCACCTCTGTCAAGGATGTGGCATCTAATTTGGCTGGTGGCAGTTTAAATCAGGAGTTGAAGAGCCGCATACGATTACGAAAGGCTAAACTGGAACAGTCACCTGTAGTTGGGCAGGAACAGTTGACTGACAGCAGCAGTGATAACATAAACTTCCAACAGAGAGAATCCTCATCTGTCAGCAGAACAGCCACCTACACACCACACAGTGACTCGGCTCCTCCAGTATTGACAGGACTAGATGCCACAGTAGGGTTTTCCCGAGAAGACAAGGCCAGTAAAAGCTCAGTAGATAACCTGAAGGCAGCTCAGATAGACAGGTCCAAGTATCTGATCTCTGAAGCTAATGCCAGAAGTTTAGACAAGAATGCCCCAGACAGGACTGCTCATGGTCCATTAGCACAGCATCCCAAGAAAGCTCTGCTTCCTCCACAGCGAGCAGCAGTGTTGCCACACAAGAAACTCTCTGAACATTCCTTGTCAGAGGTGGCCCAGGCTGAACCGGATGTGGCTCCCAGACTGGGCAGACTGGATATAACCAATGTCACCAAAGCCATCAGCAGATATGGAACCATTCCCAAGGGGGTGAGGATTGGTGCATACCTGGAGTCCATGGAGCGGCAACAAGAAGGTCAGCGGCGGGACAATTCTTTGCTGGAAGATCACCAATCTGGGAATAATAGTGTCAGTGTGTCATCATGTCCTCATGTAACAGGTGATCACCCAATAGAAACCATTGCAGCAGTTGTGGGGCGGTTACAAGAGGGCATCAATGAGGATTCTGATCAGGGCATCAAGCAGGAACCCAATTTGAAACCGTCTGCCTTTATGAAGTCTCAGTCACAACATGGTATTGCCGGTCCTGACATAGCCATCCCTTGCTCTCAGGCTGCCACCACAACCAACCTCAAGTTACAACTGTCAGACTTGGTACAGAGACACACGTCTGAGCTCTCCATCAAACCATCGGTGCCTTTAGAGCTGCTCCCACCATCTAACCACATGGTTACCTCTATTGCAGCACCAACTTACTACCAGCAGCCTTCCGTCCATCAGGCAAACACAGACCCCCTCTCTCAACAGGCTATGTCCCTGTCCGCTGCACACGGTTCATCCCGTTTCTCAGATGCTAATGACATCCACAGACCGAAGCCGAGCCCACGGTTTTCCCGACAGTTGGTAGACGGGCTCAGTGTCCGCGACCAGCCTCAGGTTCCGGGCCGTACACAGCAAGCTTCCTCTAACATTGGAACAGATGCCAGTAACCTTTAACAGTACGGTAGACACCAGCAGAGCCCCGGCTTTTATGACTGGGTTGTCACTGCGGGAAGAGTACAACCACCAGCAGTCCAACGGTGCAGTCAGCTCATTCAAAATCTACACCAAGCCATCTGTGAATCTTGGCAACTTGAGGCAGAAAGATCAGCCATCGGTGGCATTACAAGAGACCAGTCTAGACCAGTTAGCATCTGCCGCCTCCACCTCAGAACCTGCTCAGTCTGGCAGAGTTGAATCAGCAACTTATAAATCAGTAGGCATCCAGCTACCTCCTGCCGCAGTAAGTGACTTGGGTGTAGAATCTTCTATGAGTGGCAGTTACATTGTTGAGCCTTGCCAGCCGCCACCACCAGTTGCTGCTGGAGGTGTTTGCCAGCTCACTTCATTGGAGCCCGTGAACTTTGATTGCATTAGGTGCGCATCAGACAGGCTGAAATCTTGCATTGACAGGCTGGTTCAGGCAGGAAATAAATCTAGTACCAATTTTATGATTCTTTCAGAAGAAGTTCTGAAATTTTACAGTCTATGTTCTCGTTACATAGATGCACTTGCACCTCATGCCAAGTTCCAGGCCCGGGAGCTGCTGACACGGTTACAAGCTCACAGCGACAACCTGAAGACCTACACAAACAGCAGTCCCTCTGGAGGCAGTAGGCTTCTCAGTGATATTCAGTCCACCAACCAGGAGATTATGATGGTTATCCACAGATAGAGGTTTGCCAACCAGGTGATGATGTAAGTCATCCACAGATAGAGGTTTGCCAACTAGGAGATGATTTCAGTCATCCACAGATAGACATTTGCCAACTAGGCAATAACAGTCCGCATTTTTCTCAGCCGTTCCGCTGCATTCGACCTCACATGTCCACGTCCAAACTTCAATTGACTTTCTATCCTCTCCGGGTTCACACCTTCTATTTTAGTCTCACGCTTTCCTCGTACTTCTATTCACCCAACACAGGGTACTCGAGACATGCTTATCTCACTTTCCTCTTGTTTCACTGGTCCTCTGACCCTGTCCCCCCAATCGGGAACTCTCTGGGATTTTCCCAGGAATTCACCTAATTACAACTCTAGGGGTTGTAATGAGGTGAATTCCCAGATGAGCTCCCAGCTTGCAATGTGGCTCTGTCTAGGGTTTAGATGAACTCATCACAATGTTGTACTGACGTTCTTATTTATGTAAAGCTACTATGAACACGACAAACACGCCCCTCGGCAGCTATTGATCTTTATTGGCTTTTCCACCTGCTGCACTGTCCAGTCGCTCATCTGTGTTCTCATGGTTGCTACATGTGACTGATTTATATCAACAGTTCCAACTATCTCACACTGTGGTTCTCTCTGCAGTTACCTTTCAGACTATACATCTGGATCAGGCTGACATCTGGTTCCTTGTACCTGTACACAGTCAAAAACTTGCAGTCAGTAGACATTCATTCCTCATCTCGAACATTCACACAAGGTCAGACGGTCCCCATTCTTCTCAGCTGTTTTAGTGCATTCGACCGCACACGTCCACGTCCAAACTTCAACTGACTTCCTATCTTTTCTGGGTTCACACCTTCTGTTCTAGTCTCACGCTTTCCCAACACGGGATACTCGAGACATGCTTATATCACTTTCCTCTTGTTTCACTGGTCTTCTGACCTCGTCCCCCCAATCGGGAAATCTCTGGTATTTCCCCAGGAATTCAGCTTATTACAGCGATAATGTCAGTCGTTCATAGGTAGAAGTTCACCGACAAGGAGGTCATTTCAGTTATCCAGACAGACCTTCCAGTTAGTTTTGACACAAAAAATTGTATCTGTGTTTGTGCTACCTGCCAGTCTTCATGGGATAAGTGCTGAGTGTGTTGTATGTGCCACTGACACACATTTATTGTACCTGCACTGTGTCACATGTGACACTATGACACATTTATTGTGCCTGAGCTGTGTTAGATGAGAAGTGTGTGACACATTTATTGTATCTGAGCTGTGTTAGATGAGAAGTGTGTGACACATTTATTGTATCTGAGCTGTGTTAGATGAGAAGTGTGTGACACATTTATTGTATCTGAGCTGTGTTAGATGAGAAGTGTGTGATACATTTATTGTGCCTGAGCTGTGTTAGATGAGAAGTGTGTGATACATTTATTGTATCTGAGCTGTGTTAGATGAGAAGTGTGTGATACATTTATTGTATCTGAGCTGTGTTAGATGAGAAGTGTGTGACACATTTATTGTATCTGAGCTGTGTTAGATGAGAAGTGTGTGATACATTTATTGTATCTGAGCTGTGTTAGATGAGAAGTGTGTGATACATTTATTGTATCTGAGCTGTGTTAGATGAGAAGTGTGTGACACATTTATTGTATCTGAGCTGTGTTAGATGAGAAGTGTTTGACACATAAGTGTATGTAGTATGCGTGAATATGAAAGTACTGTTGTGTGTAAATATGGGGTAGCCTGTACATTGACGTGCTTTGTGTGTCACATGAGAGATCACAGACTGTCAGGGAAATGTTGGCTCATATTTATTGTTACTGAGTGACTTTGGCAGGTTCAGTTGGGAACATGGGTCTTGTATTTATTGTTACTGAGTGACTTTGGCAGGTTCAGTTGGGAACATGGGTCTTGTATTTATTGTTACTGAGTGACTTTGGCAGGTTCAGTTGGGAACATGGGTCTTGTATTTATTGTTACTGAGTGACTTTGGCAGGTTCAGTTGGGAACATGGGTCTTGTATTTATTGTTACTGAGTGACTTTGGCAGGTTCAGTTGGGAACATGGGTCTTGTATTTATTGTTACTGAGTGACTTTGGCAGGTTCAGTTGGGAACATGGGTCTTGTATTTATTGTTACTGAGTGACTTTGGCAGGTTCAGTTGGGAACATGGGTCTTGTATTTATTGTTACTGAGTGACTTTGGCAGGTTCAGTTGGGAACATGGGTCTTGTATTTATTGTTCTTGTGTCGACATCTTTGTTGAGGGGAGTGTTTGAATGTACATCATTGGTTGGATGGGTTGCAGTGGTCAGTTTGTGTCAACATATATTAGTGTAGCTACTGACTGAAGTTCTCAGGCAAGAGCTGGTTTGTTGCAAAAGTTGCCAGACCAAAAATGCTAACGGGCCATTCTTGATCCAAAATCATGCTTTCGTATTAAGCTAAAACAATTACTGGTCTCCATGTTCTGGAAGACAGGAGAGACACAAAGCCCCTCACCCAGCTCTCCAGATACCACCATATGAAATAACAACTTATGCACAGCCAACTGCAGAAATCCAGAGCATTTTTCATTAGGAACGCAAATGTCAAGCTCGCTGACCTCAGACTCCCTCCCATAGTTCCAAATGTTCCACTAAAACCTTACAACCATTACCCCCCTTGGCTTAGGGGTAACCTGCCAACTGTCAGAACCACTGTAACAGTGATCTCCTCCAAATCATCATTGAGCAGCTAAGATGTCAGTTACAGAAGGAAAGATCAACAGAATTTATCCACACCAAAGCAGCATTCGAGTGTATACAGATGGTTCAGCCAAGAGAGCGGTAATAGACGCAGGAGGAGCAATATACATAGAATGCCCAAATGGTTAAAAAAACAACCAGGCTGTACCAACAGGTTCATATTCCTCCAATTACAGAGCAGAGGCAGAAGCACTACTGTCTGCATGATCTTTCCTGAATGGACAACAGCACAGAAAATTAAGCAGATTGGTCTTTCTGACTGATGCTGTCAGTTCTACAAGCAATTGTTAACCCAAAAGATGCTCAGTTTGTAGACTTGACGCAACAGCTGATTTACTTAGGTTCTTTAGTAGAAAAATCTGTACTGCAGTGGATTCCAGATCACTGTGGCTTGGAAGGCAATGAAATAGCGGATAGATTGGCTAGAAGCGGCAGTGATGTGGTACAACCAAACAGTGACTTAACCCACCTAGAGACTAAGACATTAATACTATCTACTATCCAAGAAAGGTGGCTGGATACACACACCAGATTCTCTCCTCAAGATTCACTTCATCGCATCTCTAGAGGTGAACTGGGTATTAAATTCAGACTAAGGACAGGGCACAACAGACTTCATCAACATTTGTTCTGAAACTTTTTGGTGTAGGAAACACCAAGTGTTGCCCCTGCAACTTGGCACCCGAAAATGCTGAGCATGTGCTCTAACACTGTCAACTGTATGCTGCAAACGGAGATGCAATTTGGCCTGTTCTTACCACAATAAAGACAAAACTGTATGGTACACCAGGGGATATGGTCTATACGATAGCTTTCATCAAGGCTACTGACCTCCTGATATAAGTTTTCTGACAGAAGGATCGAAGAGGAAGAAGTGTCTGGACTGCTTGGATTATGGTTGATTGAGTTTAGCTACCTAGTCTATAGCTGTTGGAGCTGCTACAGTGACCACCATGGTGTCTGGATTGCTTGGATTGTGCTTGATTGCTCCTAACTGGCTGGCCAAAGAAAGGAAATAATGCAATGTACAAGGTGTCAAATTCCTTGATGCAAGATCTTTCAGTTGATGTCAACATATCATTGATTTGATTTCACATAATTTGCTGGTGTTGAAGAAACACCAACTGCCACCTATAGATTGGAGACCAGGTACTAAGCTTGCATGTATCATATTGGACCAATTACAAGCCGACAAGGGCCCTCCTTCCAGAGCTCAAAGCAGGGCACCATGACGTTTTTGTTTTCCCTTTTTCAAAAAGTTCATAGCTGGCTGCTGCTGACAACCCCACATAACCTTTTGTGACCCTAAAAAAAAGGTTTGTGCTTGAGTCAGGAAATGTTGAAACTGTCTTTTGTATTGGAGGTTTAGATACAGAGTGTCACTGGTTGTGATTGTGTTTTTACTGTGATTGTGTGGGTGCAAATCTGTACTTCTTTGTTTATTTGGGTGCACATTTGTACTTCTAAAGTTGTGTCGCACATCTGTACTTCTATGGTTGTGTGGTACACATCTGTACTTCTATGGTTGTGTGGTACACATC